GTTATTTGGTGTTATTTGTCTAACGCAGTGTTTATAACTCTGTACTCCACCAGCCGTCCAGATGTTGCCCTCCTCTGGTTCCTCATCCCTCTCAAAGCTGTGAAGCGCCTGGTTTGTGACCAGTACAGGTGGCTGACCATCAAGATTGTCACTGCTCTCCTGCTGCTTGCCATCATGGCTCTTTTCCTGTACAACATGCCAGGATACTTGGTGAAGAAGATGCTGGGAGTTTAAAATAAACAAATAAACACGGTACTGACTCTGTAATCCAGTGTTTTTGTATTTGGACTCTCTGGATTCTCCTTTATTTAATATTCTAAGATTTAGTGTATACACCTGGTTTTGCTTTTAGTTGTTTTTCTGGTTTGTGTACTATTTGTAGTTTCTAGTCTTGGCCTTGTCTTCATTTTTGTTCGGTCTTCTCTTTCTGTCTCCCCAGTCAGTCTTGTTTCCATGTCTGTTTCTCTGTGGTTATCGTACTTCCTGTTTTATTTTGAAAATCTCTCACCTGTTCAGTGTGCTCAGTTCCGCTTCCCCTGTCATGTTAGTCTGTATTAGTTCCAGTGTGTTTCCTCCTGTTTCCAATCCTCTCGGTATCCTGTGTGTATTTAAGTCGTCTGTCTTCCTCTGCTTGTTGTTGCGTTATTTCTTTTCCTGTCTTTTCTTGTGTGCTGTGTTTCCCTTGTTATCTAGTTGTTATCTCCTAATTTATTAGTTCCCAATTCCTAGTAGTTCCCCTTTTGCTATTGGGTCCTACCTCCACCTGTCACACAGTAATACAGTGACATTTGACATATTATAAAGTTTTGATTACAAGCATAAATACTATATATAATCCCCTTTTGCAAAATTTATTCTCATACCATATAATCTTATCCATTACTGTGGTGTGGTGGTGTAAAATATCATTGTTTCACAATGACGGTTATATTTGCTGAAATGATTACCATTAGTTTTAGTGTTGTGAATGTTGCTGCCCCGAGGCAAGACTGTCACATTTGTTCTGATTTATTGTAATATGAAAAGCTTGTTAAAGTGTGCAGTAATTTGTGTAGTTACGAAACAACAATAAACATTTTTATCATCATCTGTCAGCACTTCTTTCCCTGGAGGATTAACTCACCTTTTAAAGAAAACCCTTGAAGTTTCAGCATTTTCTTTCACTGCATATACTGACCTGCATGTGCATGATCCTTTCCAGTCTATAAAATTTTAAAATCTAAAATCTTTATTGCAAAACACTTTAAAAGAGTTTAAAATCTCGCCACAATAGCATGCAATGCGTGTCCAAGGAACTCTAAAATTATCAGTTGAGAGAGGATTCTGTATTATAAAGCTTCTGGCCTGTTTGCATCCATCCTGCAATGTGTGTAAATGCTCATATTTATTAATGGTTTCAATTCTTTCTGCCTTCTATTTCTATTCTTTTACCATATTTAGGGCAAATTTTTAGATCCAGGTCTTTATTTCCATTTTTCTTTCAGAATAAGAATCAGCACTTTACTCACATTTCATTTAACAGAACAGACAGTCAATACCAACAATAACAAAATCACACAGATAATAAAAATACATAAAGCATATTTGTATTTCTTTGTATATTATCTAATTAATTAAACTACTTTGGCCATGTTGGTCCTCCATTTGACGTGTTCGCTCCTTATAATAAAAAAAAAAATACACAAACCTACCTGAACACGTGGCTCTAAATAGACGCTCATTTTAAACTAAATGAATATAGACAGAGGAGAGATCAATCGTTTATGAGTCTATGCTGCCATCTCCTGGTTTTCTGTGGAATTAACAGTAACAGTGCTAAACACGTGCGACTGCTCCGCGTAATTCGCTGATCATTTGACACAGAGTTTGTTAAGAGGTCATCGGTTACTTATAGTTAATGTATGAATGAAAATGAAAGAACAAATATTCAATAACAAAATTTAAAAAAAAAAAAACATTGGAGGATGCGGGCATCGATCCCGCTACCTCTCGCATGCTAAGCGAGCGCTCTACCATTTGAGCTAATCCCCCTGGTTGTACGAGGCCTCACGTCACTTTGTTTTATCATTGCATCCACAGCCTCGTCAGCTTCCTGTGTTGGGATATCGTGTATAGAACTCTTTACACAACACGTGAACGTTAATAAACACCAAAACATAACTTCGGCAGAACTTCCTCACTACTCTTTTTATTATCTTACTTAAT